GGCAGTACCGCTCACAGTACCCTGCATGCTTAGGCAGTACTGCTCACAGTACCCTGCATGCTTAGGCAGTACCGCTCACAGTACCCTGCATGCTTAGGCAGTACCGCTCACAGTACCCTGCATGCTTAGGCAGTACCGCTCACAGTACCCTGCATGTTTAGGCAGTACTGTGTACACTACCCTGTATGATGTCCTGCTATGCAGTGATCATGGGAGGTGAGGCGGTGGAGGGCAGAGAGGCTCACTTTTGATAGAACATTTGGGCAGAGGTAGCACTGCCCTCAGGGCATGACCTAGGCCATACCTACATGACACAGGGGTTTAAGCCCCCTTCCCCTGCACCCTTTCAGGGAGTCCCCACACGGTGTGCTCGCAGAGTGCTGTGTTCTTCCCCACCTAGCCCTGCGGCCATGTTTCTGAGTCGGCTTTCAGCTCTAGGCAGCTCGCTAGCCTGCAGAAGTTGTCTGGAATGGGAGACTGGCTGTTAGGTTCATCACTGTGTCCCCAGCTCAAGTTCAAGTTCTCAGTAGCCCATGGTCAGTCCCTCAACTCTGCAGAGAACAGAGGTGGAAGGGCACAGAAGGAACATGAAGCACAAGGTCCCAAGCACATCCTTCCAGATTCAGATTGCACACAATGGCCTTTCGGGAGAAAGCCCCGGTGAGCAGCCTGAGTTCCCTTTCTTCGTCCTCTCTGGTCCAGCCAAGCGCTGGTCCAGCTTCTCCTTGGAAACCATCATCCTCCGCCCTCCTCCTTCCCAGCAGGGCAGCATAGCTGACAGCCAGGCAGAAGGCTCTCTCACCCAGAGTCAACCAGTCCTGCCTAAATGCTAGGGAGACAGAGAGGGAGGGGAGCCATGCTTCTGCATAAGCCACAGCTGATTCTCCAGACTCACCAAAGAGTTCTGCTCACAAGGCCGTAAGACACCTCGGGGAACAGCTCAGAGGCTAAGAACCAGGACTGGGGTGTGGGTAGGTGAACTGTGGGGCGGCGGTCAGACTGATTCCACATGGGAATGCCTGGTTTGAGTCCCAGATAACTAACTTTGGTCCAGCTTCCTGGGAAGTGGCAAGTGATGGCTCAAGAACTTGAATCCTTGCCAAAATGGAGGTTTGGCTTTCAGCTCTGGCTTGGCCCAGCAGACAGCTGCAAGCATCTGGAGACGGAACCAGTGGATGGAAGATCTCTCTGTGTCTGTCTGTCTGCCTTTCAAATAAGGATGATGATGATGATGATGAGAAAACCTATCTTCTAGCTGATGTCAACCAAACTTCTCAGGTCCCTGGGAACTGAAGAGAGGATGCAGGCAGGAAAGGAGAGAGAAACAGCAAAGGGAAGGGGCTGAGACGTTGAAATGGGGGAAAGATGCAAACCCAAAGGCTTCCCATGGCATAAAATTCTCAGCTCTTCCCTCCTGGTAAACCCAGGGCAACGTGGCCTGCTTGGGAGCTCCGGCTCACTCTTGCATCTCTGCCTTGGTTTACACACAGCCAGAGATAGGCACCTTTCCTCACTTAGATTTAAGCACAGGGCCTCCTCTGCCTCTCTTCTCGTTTCTCTGAATTCCCAAAGCTCCTTCCCTGTGTTTCTCTCAGCTTTGTCTCTGGGTTTTTCACAGTGGACCCAGACCCCAGCTGATCCCAGCCAGCTCTCACTCCTACTCCAACCAACACATTCCCAGGGACACAACAGTAACACAACACTGGGTCACAAGCTGACATTTTATCAGGCAATGAAATGAAAAACAGCTTTAAAAAATTATCTATCTATCTGACAGCAGGTGAGAGAGAAGGAGGGATTGCTTTTTCTCCCATTGGCAGGTTCACTCCCCAAACACCTGCGACAGGCAAGGCTGTGGCAGGCCAAAGCCGGATTCCCCTCCCCCTGTCTGCTTCTCCTGGAATGGGAGGCAGAGTTGGGACTCAAAGCCCAGACACTCCAAACAGGGTCTGAGAACCTCAAGTGACATCTTTTCCCCCACACCAGATGTGCACCTGGTGTGTGACCCATGTCTGAGGTCCCCTGGGCTAGAGCTCAGCCAGATGAGCAGCAGAAAATGGGAACTTTTGCGTCACATTCTACCTAGTGGGTGACGTAAGGCAAGTCATTCAAACCCCTTTAGCCTGCAGAGGGAGAGAGAGGGAGAGAAAGAGAGAGAGAAAAGACGAAGGAGGAGGAGGAGGAAGAGGAAAAGGAGGAGGAAGAGGGAGGGAGGGAGGGAGATGAGCTTTCATCTGCCTTCAGAATGGCATAAATCTGGGAAAACCAACCGTGTTAGTCAGAAATGTTGTCCCTGACCCCTGTCGTCGGTGGTCAGATCCACATTCTGGGTCCTCAGAGAGTTGCAGATCAGACTCCAGGCACCAACCTCCCTGGTCTCACATCACCGTAGTTGCCAACCTACAGCCTTCAGGCACTGTAGAGACATCTTTATTCTTATTCTGCATCTATAGGAGGGCCTCCCACAGGACACAGAGTCACGCCAGACGCCTCAGTGTGGTCCTCTGTGCACAGCAGCTTTTTATAGCCACAGCACCTGCCTTCGGCCACTCTGCCTCCACCTGCCCAGCTCAGCAGCCCAGCAGCACCCTCGGGCTGCAAGCAGACTCCTGGGTCTTGGCTGGTCAATGTCTCTTTGTCCCTGGCCCTTTATTATCCTACACATGGAGCAGATACTTTTTGGCACCGGGGCTCAACATGTCTTTCCCTGGGCCCAGCACGATGGCTCAGTGGCTAAATCCTCACCTTGTAAGCACTGAGGTCCCATATGGGTGTTGATTAAAGTCCTAGCTACTCCACTTCCCATACCGCTCCTTGCATATGGCCTAGAAAAGCAGTCGAGGATGGCCCAAAGCCTTGGGACCTTGCACCCGCGTGGGAGACCGCGAGGAAGCTCCTGGCTCCTGGCTTCGGATTGGCTTAGCTCTGGCTGTTGCAGCCACTTGGGGACTGAACCAACAGATGGAAGATCTTTCTCTTGGACTCTCCTGCTCTCTGTTAATCTGATCTGCCTTCCCAATAAATCTTTCAAAAAAAAGAAATGTTTCCCTATACCCTGCTACCGCAGCTCCAGGATGAGTCTTGCATGAAAACAGACCAGGACACACCCCCCCACACACACACACTCATTCATTCATTCTCATATTCTCTCTCTCATGATCTGAGGAAGCAGAGGAGTGACCACGGACTGCTGTGCCAGTGGTAGGAGTTTTGGGATAGAACCACAGCCAGGATGTGTAGCGAGAGGGGGTGACTTTCAACTGTAGGATAGCAACCATGTCAGGGAAGGTCCAAGATCACTGGGTGTCCAGTTCTGCAGCAACAGTAGACTGGATGCTGGTCTTTGGGGACGGGATCTCTCTGGGAAGCAGGCAGTGACTAGTGGCCAATACAGCTACAGAAGTGACTAGATAAAAGGACAAGTAGAGGAGGGGCAGCCCATGGCTGAGAGACGGTCATCGGAAGGCAGATTGGAGCTGTGCGGAAGCAAGCCATCGCTCCCGTCCTCGCTGAGCCTGCGGTTGAGGAGGTGGATGGGGACTAAATTCCCCAAGTGTCATTCTGCAGGCACAGGGACAGACAGCACCCCTTTGACACCTGTGTTCCAGGGCATGGCTTCAGATATTACAAAGGTACACACAGTATGATTTAGTTTGTGTAACTGTGCATGCAGGGTATTACCAACCGTTCTTGCGAGGGAGAAGCAGGCTCAGGGAGGCGGGCTATTCAGTAAGGGGTGCAGGGAATATCTGAACATGATGCCTACGAGGCAGCAAACTGAATTCTAGGAATCCCCTTAGGAAGGAAAATAAGATACAAAAACTCTGTACAGATGCTGAGGTCACACTAACCCTTTTTCATCCTAAACAGGGTAGACCCCAAGGAGAGCTCTGAAATAGGAGACTGTGAGAAGCCATGGGCCAGTAAAGAACAGGAACCTTGCTCCATCTCATGCTACCCCGCCAAGACTGCCTGACCAGGCGAGAATCTGCTGTAAAGAATACTAAAGTCATGAAAAGCCAAAAAGCTGAAGTTTCCATTTGCTTCCTTTCTACATTTTTTGATCAGGCAAAATTTCATCAGTCCCTGGTACACTGGGCAGCTGGGCTGTGCTAGGCAAGAATGAAGCTGGATTTTTCATTCTCTTCTTTGATTCGATTAAGAAGAGCTATATTAAAAGTGCCTCAAGCATGGTTGGAAAACAAAAGCAAAAAACATCTGTAACTCTGACAGCAAACAATGGCATCCAAAGATGTGGTGGGTACAACCATATACCCATCCTGGGGCAAATGGACTTATTCATTCCGTACACTTCCTATCGGCCACTGCCCCCATGACGCTCCAAGATCGGCATGGGTGAGAATTCCATCTTACACTCTTAGAGACTGTTATAGAACAAGGAACTACATTCTGTAGTAGCCAATGCCTTTACACCATCCACACTGGTAAGCGAGATACCCTCCATCATGCACATGGGCATAGAGGAAAGAGAGAAAACAGGACAACAGCCACCAGTGATTACCACACTAGGGCTGGGGAGGACAGAGCTCTCCATGCCCCAGACTGTTCTCTCAGACCAGCCAGGTCTTCAGCAATGTGCCTCCACCAGAAGTTGAGAGGTTGTTCTTCTGGTGTCCTAGCCATGCTTGCCCAGTGCTGCCCAGCCCTGGCCTCAGCCCAGCCATGGCTCTAGTCCCAGTGCTGGCCCTCAGACCAACCCTAGTCCCGGCCCTGGCCCTGGCCACAGTCCTAGCCCCAGCCCTGGCCCCGGCCCCACCACAGACCTGGCCCCAGTCCTGGTCCTGGCCCCAGCCCCGCCACAGCCCTGGCCATAGACCCGACATAGCCACAGCCCTGGCTCTAGCCACAGACCCACCACAGTCCTAGCCCCAGCCTTGGCCCCGCCCCAGCTCTGGCCCCGGCCCTGGCCCCAGCCCCGGGCCCCAGCCCTGCCACAGTCCCAGCCCTAGCCCCAGCCCCAGCCCAACCCCGGTCTTTACCTTCCACAGGGGAGGTTTTTAGTCGACTGCAGAGGTTCTGGACTCCTCCATACTGGACGTTGATCTGGGTCACTGCATCGGTGGACCGCAGCTCCATGAGCTTCCTCAGGTCCATGAGCGTGCAGCCAAAGTCTCCTTCATGAGGCTCGGCCAGCGAGTTGGCTGGCAGAGCATGTTCTGATGGGTTCGTCATTTTGCCAGCTGTTACCAAGCCCCTAGCCCAGTCAAGGGGTGGAGGGGTCTCCCCTTCAACAGGTGGGCGTCTTCTGCTTCCCAGTCCCTTTTAGTCGCACTTCTTGCTGCTCTTGGGACCCTGTCAGGAGACAGACCTGCTGTCTTGTGCAATACACTCCACAGCAGCAACCCCGAGTCTAGTTCTTCTCTTCAGGAGGAAGGTTGGCAGTGAGAGGAGGAAGAAGCTGGGGGAACCAAGTGGAAGCCGGACGTTCGTGTCACAATGATTGGTGTCCCCAGGTGGGGATGATGTGGTGGACCGGGGTAGATAGGTTCCTAGCTCAGACCGACTTGCCCAGACAGAGGTATAAACAGGACGTACACGTTACCATGGAGGCAACCTTAGCAACAACCAGCAACTGCGGTGGTTGAACAGCAGCAGGAAGAGGAGGAGGAGAAGGAAGAGGAGGGCTTCCTGGATACCGATGACAACCAGATCTCTGGAAGAAAGATTCAGAGACAAAAAGAAACAATTAGAGTGGCCACAAGGATCCAGCATCTGCCAGGACACAAGGTACCCATCCCAGCACTGGGGCTTGGGTGACAGTTGGTGTCTGAATTGAACTGATAGCTGGGGCCCCAGTTGAGTCAGATGACTCAGGAGAGGCCCTTGGTCTCTTGGTAAACTCTCAGGTCTGTAAGGTATTTCAGAGACACCCTGGTCTTCACACCTCCCAAACAAAGCAACACAGCATCATTAACATGGATAGGAAAGGTTGCACGCTTCATGGCTCTATGGCTCCACACTCTCCCTGTCTGTGTGAGGGCCTTGAAGCAGGCTTCTTGAGTTTGACTTCAATGTGTAACCGGTGAGAAGGCATCAGGGAAAGGAGTCCCAACTTGAGCAATGTGGCCAGCAGCCTGCCAAGCAGGTGCCCTTCTCCACGTCCTACCTTCTTCCCGGTTCCCAACACACACACTCACAGACCAGATGCCTGCCAGGGCTTCCGAGAAGACAGCATCCATCCACATGGATATTCTGCACGAGTCAGCCAGTCCAGCACCAAAAGTTTTGGTCTTGAGGCTTTTGGGAGAAGAGCAAAGTTCTCTGGCAATTGGCAATGCAGGATGCCCCCCGCCCCAACCTTTTTAAATGGAGGAGACAGAAGAAACTGAGCAGGAAAGACAGTGAGGCTCATGGCTGTGAGTGTGGTTGCTTCTCCAGGTTGGAGGGATAAGACAGCCAACAACGCAGACAGGGCAGAGGGGCCCCTCCAGCACCGTCTGCGGCAGGCGAGTCTGCATGTGAGTGCGCACTGAGGTCTCCAACCAGCCCAATGGAAGCAGGGTGCATCCGATGCCTGGGAGGGAGGCACCGTCTGCATTCCTGCTCACCCAGGCTGGGAGTGGGGGTGGAGCCACCTGCAGGGGAGGGCACCCAGAACTGAAGAGGGAAAGGCTCCCCCTCAATCCCCTGGGCCCCTTTATCAGCTGTGTGTCCTGCAGAAGCAATGGCCACTCCGCCACTGTTCAAATGACAAAGGGCTCTTCCAGGGCCCAACCCAACTGACCTGAGTTCAGTTAGCAGGGGTGGCAAGGGGCTTGGCTGGGCTGACATGCCTACATCCTGAAGGCGGACCAGGACACACAGGTGGCCTCAGAGGACACTGCATCCAAGATCCCCACTCCACTTTGTCCTGTTTCTCACGGGGCCAAGTAGGATAGATGGCATCATACCCCTTCCTCTCATAAGGCACTCCCTGTTGCTTCTCCTATCCATCGATTTTTTTTGTCACTACTTTGGCAGAGCAAGCAGGGATGTGTGCCACACTCCCTTTTCAGATGTCATCAGGGAACCTTGGAGGACAAGGTCTAGGAAGCACGTGAGGCACAGGTCAGACTCCCCCTCCCCCATGCAGGCTGGCACAGGAAAAGGCAGCAAGTAGTCCCCTTACAGTGGCAGTGTCACTTACCCAGGAAGGCGGGGGCAGCGAGACCAGAGTGTAAGACACTGAGAGAGGAGGAGGCCATAGCCATGATTTTATTAGGGCACATCGATAGCACTGTTCTTTTTAAATTAATATTCTTGTTCATCTCTTGCCCAATTTATAAATTAAATTTTATTATGGATATGCACAGATAGGAAAAAAACATGGCAGTCACAGGGCTTTGTCCATTCTGAGGTCCCAGAGTCCTCTGGGGGCCTTGGAACATGTTCCTGTGGACAGAGAGCCAGTTCAGCCTCTCTTTCAAGCCTGGAGGGAGCATGTGTACATGTCCATGTGTGCATGTGTGTGCCTGTGTATGTATGTGTGCATGTGTGTGCATGTGGTGGGGCAGCAGTGGCTGTAGCAGCATCTTAAACCCTACATAGAGCTATTACACCTTCTAAGAGGATGCTGGGACACAGCCCACAGTCTTGCATTGGGAAATGAAGCACCACACCTTTTCCGTCCCTATCTGCCTCAGGAGGCCAAGCATTTTCCACCACTTCCCCTCCCCCCCCCCCAGTTTGGTTTTGTTCTGGGTCCCCAGTGCCTGCAGAACCTGCACACAGCTCCTACTCATTTACACTCAGAACTGGAGTCACCTCTGACCTTGCCTCCCCAGGGCCCAGTCCCGCCCACCCTGAATGAATGAGCCTCTACCTCACATTACCGACCAGGTGCATGAGGCTACGCACAGAAAATGAGGTGCCTGGTGTCCAGCTCAGAACGCCTGGGGTGGGACAAAGCTGGGTCTGCTGGTCAGCCACCATGGGATTCATCCCACCAAGCAGAGGACAGCAAATGGCATGTGCCCCTCTGGCTCTCTTTGCCAGGCAGTTCCTACTTCCCCCCAGAAAAGAGAGACTCCTGATGGCAGATGGGTAACAATCACCACTAGGTCATTAGAGCAAAGGAGGTGGTAGACAGGATCTGATGTCCTGAACCTCCCCTGGGATCACCAGAGAGGAGAGACTTCCACCCACAAAGGCATGTGTGGTGGGAAAGTCACTGAGGACAGGAGCGCGTGGGGCTGAGAGCACAGGGGGCGCCTGCCTGCTGCAGGTGGATGCGGAGGCCCACACGCACCAAAGCCAGCGGTATAGGGTGGAGCACAGCTGGCTGGCAGGGTGGGCTCCATGTTGAGAGTGCTCCTGTCACTGCCCAGGCCTCTCTCTCCTCTCTGCGCTCCCAGCCTCCGGAACGTGTGTTTTGTACCACTGCTGAGCTCGCCTGGCCCCTGACCTTATTAGGTAACTAACTGCCAAGGAACACTGGGCAAGTGCTCCCAGCGCCCCCGCCCTGAAGCCGGGCCGGATGCCTGGGAAGACTACCTCTTGTCAGGCCAGATTAGTCACTCTCTTGGGCATTCTGGGTGAGGTATGTGTTCCAGTCTTCTGCCAGCTAAGGGGAGGAGAGGAGAGAGAAGGTCCTTCCACTCCTTCCTCCCACATGACTTTGCCTGCTAAGCTGCTTCGACGATTTCCTCCCAGAGTCTCGTAATCTCACCCCTAGGCTGTGAACGGCATGGGAAGGCAAGGCCCTAAGAACTCTAAAGGGGAGAGTACGGTAGGGGGCCCTTACTGGGGAAGACAAAGCTCCAAGGAGGTCAGGAGTGGTCTGGCTGGGACTGCCCGGTGTCTTCCATGTCACACTTCATTCCGTCCCTGTGTAGGGATACTTCTCGTTTCCTGACATCTCAGAGGCCCTTCCCCATGCTGGCGACTCCAGGGTCAGGAGAACTTCACCTCCATTTAGATCTCTCTCCCCCAGCTACACCAGTCCTGCACCAGGAACCAGGAGGGTACAACAGCCCCTCTCCCATTCCTGAGATGCCCACGACCCAGACCCCATCCTGACTGACAACTGCACCTGCAACTGGGCTCCCTGGCAAGTTTCACAAACAAGAAACTACCAGAGGCAAGAGCATGGCGCCCTGTGCCAGCAAGTCAGCCACAGCAGAGGGACTCTGGGTTTCCTCCAATTGAGTCCAAAGACTCCCTCCACAGGGTGCTAAGAAAGGCATCTGTCCCCACCTAGAGAGAACAGGGCATCTGCTTGTGCAGATAGCAGAGTAAGGTAGAGCCCAAGGGGGGTACGGAGACCACGCAACACATCTCCCCGCCAATGCACCTACTCACTGTAGTGCCACGCATGCAGGCACGCACGGGAGATGGGAGGCGGGAAAACAGGAGGGGCCGGGGCTGATGGCTGCAGGCTGGTGTGGCGCCGCAGACACACCTGCCTGGAATACTAAGTGGCTTTAGTCAACTCTGGCCTCTAGGCACACGCCGCTCCGCTCGGCGGCACAGATGCCTGTGTCCTGCCCTGCCCTGTCTTCCTGGGGCCAAAGGCCTCTGCTCAGTGGCAGACTGGCAGCACCTGGAGGACTCAGTGGCCAGAGACCCAGCAGGCAGCACTCCTGGCCAAGAGGTGAGGGAGGTGAGGGCGGGGAGTGGGGAAGCAGGAACACCTCGGGGAGAGGGAGGCAGGCTGGCCCATGGAGGATGATACGCAGGCCAGGAGGCCCCCCTCCCCCACCACACCCGCTGTCCTGTTTCCTACCCAGAGTCTCACTCCTCTCCAGTGAAGCCCTGCCTCTCTCTCTCTCATCGGGATCACGGGCTGCAAGGGAGGAACTTCATGCTGAGTACCCCCCATGTGCTAACTGCACAATAGGCACTTCATATAATAATTAAGAGTCGTGTGTGTGTGTGTGTGTGTGTTTGTGTGTGTGTGTGTGTGTGTGTGTGAGATATAGAGCCTAGTGCACCAGAGGACAGGGTGGTTGGGCCATGTGCAGTAACATGCAGTAGGAGGGTATTTCAAAAGGTTCGTGAACGACTGGACTGAAAGAGTTTACTTTGGTTGAATACACTTCTTGAAATCCACAGAGTTTTTCCCACGGGTTTTTTTGAACACCACTCATCTGTTTCGCTAAATCCTCACCAACAATCAACCTTCATAGAAGAGCATTCTTGTTTAAAATAAAACATGTTGGGCCCGGCGCGGTGGTGCAGCGGTTAAGGTCCTCGCCTTGCACACTCGGGATCCCATATGGGCACCGGTTCTAATCCCGGCAGCCCCGCTTCCCATCCAGCTCCCTGCCTCTGGCCCGGGAAAGCAGTCGAGGACAGCCCAAAGCTTTGGGACCCCGCACCTATGTGTTATACTTGGAAGAAGTTCCTGGATCCTGGCTTCGGATCGGCATAGCAGTGGCCATTGCGCTCACCTGGGGAGTGAATCATCGGACAGAAGATCTTCCTCTCTGTATATCTGACTTTGTAATAAAAATAAAATAAATCTTAAAAAAAAAGAAATAAAATAAAACATGTTTGGGGCTGATATTGTGGTGTAATAGGTTAAGCTGCTGTCTGTGACAACAGCATCCCGTATAAGCATTGGCTCAAATTCTGCTTGCTCTCCTTCTTCTTCTTTTTTTAAAGATTCGTTTATTTTTATTGGAAAGTGAGATATTACAGAGAAGAGGAGAGAGACAGAATGATCTTCCTTCT